TTTTTTTTACGGCTAACGGTAAAAATGTTGCAATAGACCAATTTCGATATATTAAAATTCAGCCTAAAACAATGGACCTCAGCACGAGACTCTGGGGAATAAACCCACAAACTCTGTATTTATTACCCAGAGCCTCGTGCTGAGGTCTATTGTTTTAGGCTGAATTTTAATATATCGAAATTGGTCTATTTTACGCCTAACTTTTACATTTTTGGCCCCCCCGGCTAACGGTTAACCGCATTGAGATCCTCTAACATGTATTTTACCCAAAATGCATCAAATGATGACATATTTCATTGGCTTATATATACGTACCGTTTTTACCACGTAGATCCATTTCGTCTTGCTTTCTTTCACTATAACCACGCCTCGTCTGAAGTACAAGAAGAAAATGAGATTACACCAAGAAAACGTTTACGACTAAGCATTTTTGAGGTTTAGCCAGAAGGCGCTCTTGGTTAAAAACCATCTAATAGAACATTTCCGAGTTGGCTTTTGCCTCTTTGTCACGAGTCTCCGTGCGAAACCATTCATATGAAAATGTGTTTCCCCTACAGGTTCATCATTTTCATGCAAATCAAACTCAGTTTCACATGAAAGGTTTTGCACGAGGACTCGGTTTGAAACAGAGGTACAAGGTAACTCGGAAATGACCTATTAAACAGGCGGTCATCCTATTCCAGCACTCGAAATGTCAGCATGCGCAACAAAAAAGGGCGATTACTCCCACATACCAACGCCTTCGTTTAACCTGTAAATAACCTATAACCTGTAATAACCGGTAAACAACCTGTAACTTTCAGGCAGCTTCACATGCATCTTCTGCCATAGACTGGTATTACAAATTTATCATTGAAGACACATCGGCCACTGGAAGTCTTAATTTTGTTACCCCTTTAGATGAAAGTGCCATCCATCACAGTCGAAAGTAGAAAAACCAATTCAGCTGTTAAGCATTCTCTTTCAATTGACAGTAGTTATAAAGCGACAAATGGAAGTAATGGGATGTTAAATAATGCGGCTTTTCGTTACCTGAAGTAATGAAATATACAGACATCGTGCTTGGTAGTTAAATCGTCTAGTGGAAGATCTTTCAAATAAGGAACACTTCTGCAACGGGAAATTAGAATATGTACAATGTTGTCAGTTTGCTATAACAGTCCTGAGTTTGAGTTTTAAACTATAAACTTGAGCTTTCTCACCTTAAAAAGCGGATATGTTCGGGCTCTCTACCGTCCTCGTAACTCATAAAAATATCACGGAAATCCTACAAGAAACAAGAAAGGAAAGATTTATAAAGAAAAAATACTAAGAGTATCAACTGCTCTCTCGGCTCTCTTATCTCTGCTCCTAGTCCAAAACGGTACATACCGTGTACCATGCCGTATGTACTAGAATGAAATTTTAGGTTTGAAGTCGTTAGTCATCAGTGGAGACACATCCAAGGACACAATCTATGCATGGGGTGCCAACATACTGGAAAGTTATCAAATTTCCCTGTTAAAAGCCAAGGAAAAGGTAGTATTGATTTCTGGACGTCTGCTCATCAGACGCGGTCTGAATTCTTCGGCTGTCCACAATGTGTGTGATATTCGGTTGGATGTGACGCGCAGAGAATGATCAGAGGAGACAGGTGAGCCTGCTGGCGCTGCAATACAAGCTTTGAGTTTACCTTCCATCAAACACTGAGAATCGAAATACCGCTGAGTATGATAATTGCTACTTAGTGGTGAACTTACCTCCCTGCAAACAGCTAGAAGAGAGACTTCGTCTTTGCACAAAACTGTCGCACTTCGAGTTTTGTGGTGAAGCAATGCCAATTCCTGTGAGAAGTAAAAATAATTTCGATAAACACATTGCGTCATCGATGCAATAATCTTTCTTTTTAATTTCAAGAACACAAACTACATTTTCAAGTCATTAAGTTCTTCACAGGACTGTGCCTATACACTAAACAATCTACTGGAAACCTGATATAAGCTTTGCTAATTTACGCAAAAAGCGTCTTCACTTGTCATAACGCGTTGATTATGCGTTGTCCTTTAGACGCCACAAGGCGTCGCATAGGGTACAATAGCGAGAAGCCATAGCTAGGGAAGAACAATCCGACAAAAAACCTTGGCCTTCCAGTTGGGAGAATGAATGGTGGGCTAACCAGATACCCTCGTGAGCTTCACGGATTACTGAGTGAGAAGAGAAAACAAAAAGAGAAAAGAAATCGTTACATACCCCAAAACTGCTTCCTTTGCCTAGAACTGCGACAGTCGTGTTTCTCTGTTCACTAGTAGCAGTATCGTTTACGAGTAGCGTTACCAGTGCTACAAAACAGCAAAATAATTCAGTCAAGAAAAGACGCCTGGCTGGAGATCAAGAACCCTCACTGGCTACGGAACAACTTAAACTCTCTCCGCGACATACACGTAACTGATCTGCAGCTGATCTGCGGATTTGCCCCC